CCTAAAAGCCCAATCCAGCAAACAATGAAGCATGTGAATACCCTTAGTCATATGAGTAGTTTTATTGAAATTAGTGGTATTACTCATATGAATTAAGTTTATCGTCTATTTGCAGAATTGGTCCTTAATGTATAAAAAGCAGTTAGCTGCTATGGCAATGAATACTATAGAGTAAAAAATATTATTATAATTTAATACTGAGAGTATTCTAAAAAAACCCTAAAATGTCCAGAAAACTTCAGAACCTGTTTTACAGACTGGATTTTATTTTGAGAAGACAGTAGTCAACAGAAAATAGAAAATGAAAATAATCTGTTTTTATAAACCAAATGATCAAGGCATTGTCTTGAAAGAATTAAAACAAATGTGCTGAAGGATTACAAAACCTGGTAGAAAGGAATTGACCTGGAATTTCTCCAAAACAATTACACCTCTACCTTGATATAACGCTTTCCTCAGGAGCTAAAAAATCTTACCGCGTTATAGGTGAAACCACATTATATTGAACTTGCTTTGATCCACCGGAGAGCGCATTCCCGCTCCCCCGGAGCACTGCTTCACCGCGTTATATCCAAATTCGTGTTATATTGGGTGGCATTATATTGAGGTAGCGGTGTAGTTTGACACTCTGTCTCTAACAAGGAATTATGGCTAAGGGTGTTGGCTCTATATTGTAGTGGCAATCAGCTAAAATATCACTAGAGTTTACTTCCATCTTAAATTCATGAATAGAAATTGGGACAGAGTGAAGGGGTGTGTGTGGGAGAAAAGTATATGAAGAATTTTTAAAAAGATGCTACTTATTCTTCATGCAGTTTTTTAATAGGGGACACTTAATTTGTTTATATTTTGTACTAATGTGATGTTCTACTAAAATATTGATTTGTGATGACCAAGGCAGTGCTTTAAAGTATAAAAGAGTGATTAAAATGCAATTGCCTATCCTGGTGCATCCAATAACAATGCAGAGAGCTTCTTGCTTGTTCTCTTATACGCTGCAATTGAAGCAGTCTGTGTCAAAAATTTTGCTGGATTAAAGCGATCGTCAGCTTTCAGCATGAAAAATTATGAAAGAAGCTTGAATTCTGAACCATAACAATAAAAAATAAAGTTCCTTCTGCAAGTTACAACTTGCCCCAAGCTAAATGTGCATCATAAATTCTGAGCGTGAAACTAACTGCCAAGCATTAGATGTCTTAGTTCCCTAATCTATGGTTATTCCCCTCCAAAATAAGTGGTCCAACAGTTGATTTAGAAAGTTACAGCATCATCACAATCAACATTATAAGGAGTAATGGCTCTGTGCAGTATAAACCCTAAATTGTTGATGGATATGCTGAATTCAGAGCTTATTGCTATCCCGCTGTTATGCAACTACAGTGAAACCCCGCTATAACGCGATGATTGCGGTCCAAAAAATTCAATCACGATAAATGCAGGGTCACAGTATAGCGGGTTTACGAAAAGTTTACCATTTAAAGCCGGTCAGTTTCAAGCCGATCAATTTCTCTTGGGCAGAGAGCAGGGGAGATGTGCAAGGGGCAGAGGAAGAGTGAGGAGCAGCTGGGGAGGAGAATGGCTCTGCCCGCCAAAAGGAGAAGCAGGGTAAGGGGGAAGAGGCAGTGGGAAAGGCACGTTCCTTTTTTTGTTTTTCTTTGGCGACGCTCCAGCCGGGTTTTTTTGTGTGTGTGTGTGTGTGCTTCAGCGGTGCTCCGGCCGCTTTTTTTGTTTGTTTGTTTGTTTGTTTTGTGCTTTGGCGTTTTTTTTGTTTGTTTGTTTGTTTTGTGCTTCGGCAGCGCTCCAGAGCTTTTTTTGTTTGTTTGTTTGTTTGCAGCGAGCAGGGGAGATGTGAAAGGGGCAGAGAAAGAGTGAGGAGAATGTCTCTTCCTGCCAAAAGGAGAAGCAGGGGTAAGGGGGAAGAGGCAGTGGGGAAGGCACATTTCCTTTTTTTTTTTTTGCATGCTTGGGGCGGCGGGAGCCACCTTATGATCACGCTATATCCGAATTCGCATTATCGCGGGGCACGTCATAGCGGGGTTTCCCTGTACAAGTAATGTAGAGTGGCTAGGTTTGTCGACTTTATTTTGACTGTATTTAGACAGCTGACACAAACCACAAACTCTCTTTTAAAGGGATTGCTGTTCAAATGGTGCATATCTGCTAACAAACATGAAATGTGGGGCCAGGATTACCAGAATTTCAGAAATCAGCACACAAGGCTATTCTTTCACAACAATTAATCTAGAGGAGCAGCAAGAAATTATTTAAGCAAAGTTGCCTTCTGGAGCTGGTTTACAGAATCTCTTAGGTGTCTTATGCCAGTAAAAGCTGAGATCTGACAGAGCTGAACCATCTGAAAGGGCTGAAAAAGTGACACAGTACACAAAGTTATATTATCTAGAATGGATCAAGAGAAGATCCAGAGATCTAGACCTAGCACTGGATAGGGGCCCAAATACTAGCTGACTCTTATTTGCTGATTATTTGCTTCAGCAAGCTGGCACTTGCTGGAAGACATCTTGAGAGGCTCTGTCCACTACAAAACTACTAACTTTCAGTTCTCTAACAGTTCCTTCAAATGTGATAAGAACTCTGTATTCCCAGTCTCTAAATGTACACATAAACTAACAATCTTCCTTTCCAAGATCAAGTAACAAGCAATTCTCTTATGATACTGGCTTGTGTATTGTCTTTGGATGGAACACCATCCCAGAATAAACTCTACTACTACAACTTGAAATTCTAACAGCTAAGCTTCTTTTAAAGAGCGCGATAATATTTCACATCACAGGCAACCCAGTTTGTGGAACTGCGGGGCCACATTCAGACCAGAGGTAAATGAGTAAATTCAGACCTGCTTAACCCAGGTCTGCATCTGGTCATTAGTTTAACACCCTGAGTCACTTTTACTCTCCTAATGTTTTTAGATATATTCAATTCATCAAATAATGGAAGATCTAAGCACTTCTGCCTTAGCCCCCAACACTTCCTTGCTGTCACCAGGACAGTCTGTAAACATTAGTAATCCTCTTTCCTTTAGTCCCTAGGATAGGTGTCTCCCAGTAAATGAGACCTAGGTGACCTCTATACAACATCAGATTTCTTTCCACTACCTATCTAATCTCAAACCAGAACCTTTCATTCTTCACACACACCCTAAGTGAGTTTAACAGAGGCCAGAGAATGTTACATTTTAGCTACTGGAGCTGGGAGTCAGTTCTGCTCCACTGGATATTAATATTATGAAGGTGTACAAATAATTCAAATTGCAGCTCAAAGGAGCCACCCATAAGGTCACAATCCTGCCACCTTCATGCAAGCAAAGCTCCCACTGAAGCCAATGGGAACTCTGCCTACATAGCAGAGACCAAATGGGGCCCTAAGGCAGTAGACTCAACGTTTATTTCCAGAAACTGAGTGTACAATGCATTTTCTTTGCTATTTTCATCCAACCATGTCTGTACATTTCCTTCAAATGCTTTCCTGACTGCTTCAAAATAATAAAGAGCAGTTAGACCTATTGTGTAGTGTCCCATTTCACTTCCAGCAACCATGATCCCTTTCTGTTAAAACAAACTGATCATCTGCTTGGGTTACCACTAGCCTCAAGAATTACAAGGAAAGGCTGGATTTTTTTTTAAACTAATCTCACCTCCCAGCTCTATTGTTTGACTTCTTTCCTTGCAAAATTCTACTAGCTCTTCGCTCTACCCATTTTGCTCCTTGTTGCTTCTAGACTTAGTCATCCCTGATAAAAAACATTTCTTGCTATTCTAAGACTAATTGCTTCCTCCATTCTGTGCCTAGTTTTTCTGTGTAGTTAGCACTCTTCCCTGAACTATGCTATAGACACTATTACACGTGTACGGAGAATATAGTGGTGTGGCATAATAACATGTTGAAAAAGCCTTTAATCACAAGTGCTATGAGTAAGTTATACAGGTCACCTCATCTGAGTGCTGATAAAATCTTTATACCACCCGATCCCATCACTTATTTTGTATATTCTTTGTACACTGCAGAAATTAAAACAACTTTAGGAATTGTTTACTCTTAAATACTGGACTATTTGAAGGCAGATCCAAGCTGTGTTCTAAAACGGACTTAAAATTTTCTATACTAAAACATAAAATACTGGGTCAGAGTGACTTATCTCCTTCTAATGGCATAAAGCTCTTTTTTCTAGCCTTGAAGGACTGTAAAATATTAAAATCATGATGTTTTTAAGCATAAAAAAATCCCTGTCACTATCCCAGGTTTGAATCTTTTCTGTTCTTCATCCACAATAAATATTTCACATGACCTGGCAATTTATCCTGTCAATATCCTCTCCATATATTATATATATGCACCCATATAACTTAGACTATCCAAACTGTTACATCTTTTCAGTGTTTCCTATGACATTTGGACAGAGGCTTTACTTAATATGTATGAGTACATACTACATCTCCAGTCTCTCTGATCATTAACTCTTACTTACAGTTTCTGGAGAATTAAATATTCAAATATTGTTAATACTGCACCTCCAAACACTAAAAATAAAGTTCAAATAAGGCTCTCATTCCATATGCTGATGTAACATCCTTTTTGGCTATATTATTTAGCACAATGTCTACTTTGCTGTTAAGATATCAAATATATTGTAACCCCTTCTACTAACAAAGGGGTCTTCCTATATTCTAATTTGTTGTCAATCAATGTTTCTCAGTTTATTCTTTGGCAAGATAACAAGTGCAACATTGCTCTGGCTGTAATTGACTGAGGCTGAGAGACTGGAGCTACTGAGGATGAGTCACTGCAGCTGCAGTTCTTTCATTTAACAAAAGCAAACGCTAAGGAGCAGACCTGGGAAGTGATTAGACAGAATGATTAATGACTTTCTGGCCTGGTTATTTTAATGTTTTCTATGCCCATCAACATAGCATTTGGGTGTATAACAAATTGAAAACAAGCAACACATTAAATTACTCTTAATAGACAACACTAATACCTTTTCTCTCTTCTCCGTGAGGATGGGGGAGGGCTGGGCTGCTGGCACAGAGGTGGGAGCTATTTCTTCTCACTAAGATTGGGTATGGGTTCTTCTCATTTCCTGAACCATGTACTAAGGAAAAAGGAGAGTAACTGGCTTGCAGGAACTGTTGTCAGCAACTATACACTCGAGCTGCTGTCAGCAGCAGCCAGGATGTATGAATTCAGTTACTTGGCCCTATTTGAAGGCCTGAATATTGCCTAAGGGAGACTTTAAAACACCTTTATATTTGATAAGGCCATTCCACTTTCATGAAGGATTTGAACCATGATAATCTCGAACGAAGCATATGCAAGCCCATAGTTGCATGCTCATCCTGAGCACATCTAATTCCATTTTCAAAGCTGTTCCTAGTGGAATTTTTTTTTAGGAATCTGGAATTAAAGTGATGCTTGTTCTTCCATAACTGTGCCCAGAAAGCATTTGCAGCGCAGTGCTATTTCAGAGCACTTTTGGGGTTTGAGGTTTAGGTGTGTTTCTGGATGAGCCAAAGTATCTCCTGGTAACATATAATGGCTGTTCTCACCAGGCCCTTTAATTGGAGGACAATAGGAACAGTCTTGCTGAATGAATGCACTTTAACTTGCCTACGTTTTGGATATGTTCCTTGTATATCCTGGTTTGTTCTTCTTTCTAAAGCAGAGTAGTACTACCACTGCAGCAGAGAAGCTTCAGATGAGAAAGGGACCTAATGGGCCCTCAGTGCCTAAACCAGAGGATTAAGGGCTGGATCCAAAACCCATCGAAGTCAATGAAAAGACTCTCATTGATATTAATGAGATTTAGCTCATGCCCTGAATTCCAGAAAGGTTTATGGGAATATGTTATTTTCCTATGCTCCTGTCACCCCTGCTCTATTATGTTCTTAAATGCCCCTTTGGGAGAATTACACCAGTGCCTCTGTCTCAGTTATGGCATATTCTCAAAAATCAACATGTTGGTCCTGACACAAAACTTGGCAGTTTCACTCCATTGTTATGGGCAGGAGCACAGAGGAACATGAGATATGCTGCTACTGTTGCTTGGTTGAGCTGGGTAGGAAGGAGAAACAGGTAGAGGAAATAAATTGCTTATTTTCCTGATCGTCTCGTACCTGATGTCTCTTTACAATGGTTCAAGAGACTATATGTAAGATCATACAGTAAACTATGGTTCAAGAGACTATATGTAAGATCATACAGTAAACAGGATTAAAAGTGGAACATTTACCTTACAATCAGTGCAACAACCAAAAATACTAACATTTATTTCAGTTGCAATAAGATAAATGCTGTTCTAACCTTGCCTAATTCATATTATCAAAACTGCATAATGCTGAAAAGATTTTCCCTTTCTTGTGCATTCAAGAAAGCAAAAAATTATCTGGCCTAAATGAGTCCTTTACAAATTGAGCAGACAAAGCACTGGAAAACAGTCTAGGGAGTAATCCTACACTGGTCAGGTGGGAATGGACTGAGACAGTTCACAGGTTGCTGTAAGCGTACCACTTATGGTACACAAGCTGCAGTAGGGTGGTATGCAGGTATGAGCTACTCTGCCACATGTCTGCGTAGACCCTGCTGCAATGCTCTTAAAGTTCCCTAGTGCATCTTCATCTACTCTCATTTCAAAACAGATCAAAGCACACTAGAGAACATAGTGTGCGGCAGCAGGGTTCACATGGACACTACCTTTCACTAACCTGCCATGCAGTACATTTACATCCCAACTTGCTACAAACTAAGTGTATGTATAGACTAGCCTGATGTGGCACTCCAAGTCTGAGAATCCCTGGACTAGATATAACAGTATAGGGAACATTAATTTACCCACCTCCTTAGCCTGACTCCACGGATGCACCTTCTTTACTGGTCCAGTTCTAGCAGGGGAGACTGCCACCACAACTCCTGGTGCCATTCCTGACAGAAGTCTGGAAAGAGGAGAAAAGAGATGGGGAGTCAGAGTGGTCCCTATGTGCTGGAAGAAAGCATAGTAAACTTTCCTGACCCTCTGTGTCAGAGTAGTCTATGCAGAGGATAACGAGACCCAAAGGAAGTTTCTGTAGCTGGGAAAATCTAAAGAAAACAAGCTGCCTACTTGAGTGCACTAATCCTATAATTTCTTGCATCTCGGTTTATTTTCAGTACTATTACTAGAAAAACATCCTTTGGTCCTGAAAGAAAAGAGTAGCAGGTGGGTATAAGGCAGTTTAGATGGCCTTACCAGCGGAGTGCATATCAACTTGACATATACATTTCAGGTCCTGCTTCTTCTAAACAATGAAGTTAAATTTAAAACGAACTACTTTTAACACCTAAAAATGCTTGTAACATGCATGTTGAAACTTGCCAAACCTAAGGTTCAAAGAGTTGAAATAAATAAGTTGTTCAGTACATTTCCATTGGTTTTGGTCAATATTGGGGGATTATGAAATTTAAGAAAAAACCCTTTTCTTTAAAAATGCAAGCCTCTCCTCCTCAATCCTTACTGTAACTTGATTTAATTTTTAATTAATTAGGGACCTTAAATTGTAAGTACCAAGCACAGCCCCCCATTCTTTTCTTTTGCAGTCTAATGGGTAGAATGTGTATGTCTGGCAGGAATGCTGGGTTCTATGCCTAATTTCAACTCTGCCTCAGTTTCCCACATTGCAAAACAGTTATGGAACAATCCTCACTGTGCTTTGGAATGGTCCGGGAAGTACTGTATAAGTGTCAGTATTTAATTATGTTTATCTACAAACCAGTAAAATTCAGCCTGGAACAATTTTTGTTATAAATTTTAAATTCCGGCTAAGTTTGCAGAATCTTTCACAAACATTTTGATTAATACTGAAAAATGATTAAAGGTCTAGAAAACATGAGCTATGAGGGAAGATTGAAAAAACTGGGTTTGTTTAGTCTGGAGAAGAGAAGACTGAGAGGGGACATGATAACAGTTTTCAAGTACATAAAAGGTGGTTACAAGGAGGAGGGAGAAAAATTGTTCTTCTTAACCTCTGAGGATAGGACAAGAAGTGATGGGCTTAAATTGCAGCAAGGGTGGTTTAGGTTGGACATTAGGAAAAACTTACTGTCAGGGGGTTAAGCACTGGAATAAATTGCCTAGGGAGGTTATGGAATCTCCATCATTGGGGATTTTTAAGAGCAGATTGGACAAACACCCGGGTTGCCCACTGGATTGCCAGGGATGGTCTAGATAATACTTAGTCCTGCCTTGAGTGCAGGTAGGGTGACCAGACGTCCCTTATCGGGACTGTCCCGATATTTACTTGTTTGTCCTGCGTTCCGACCAATGTTTGGTCGGGACGCGAATTGTCCCGATATTTTGCACTCTGGCGCACAGGCGGAGGGGGCTCATGCCCCCCGCCCCCAACTCAGCCCCAGCCCCGCCCTGACTCTGCCCCCTCCCTGCCCCATTGGATCCCTCCCCAAATCCCCACCCTGGCCCAGCCTCTTCCACAAGCATGCGGCATTCCTCTTTCTCCCCACTCCCTCCCAGGCTTGCGCAATCAGCTGTTTGGCAGCGCAAGCGCTGGGAGGGAGAGGGGAGAAGCAGGATGCGGCAGCCCGCTCAGGGACGGCAGAGGTGTGCTAGTGCAGGGCAGGGTGGGGTGCTGCCGGTGGGTGCTCAGCCGCCACCAATTTTTTTTTTGCTCTGCCGCCGGATCTAGGGGGTTTTTTTTGTCTTTTTTTTGTTCCGCCGGCGACCCCCCCCACGTGTCCCGATATTTCATGTCTCTCATCTGGTCACCCTAAGTGCAGAGGACTGGACTAGATGACCTCTCGAGGTCCCTTCCTTTTCTAGGAGTCTATGAAGTATTACCAGCCCCATGCCATTAGCTTATATTCTAAAAATGGTTTTATTTGCCTTCTGAGCCTTTAGGGGTCACATTTTTTCAGCTCGCCTCCGCAACAACGAGAACTACAACTTCCCCAAACAAAAGCTAAGCCTCTGTCCCAGAACACGAGGAGCTGGGCGGGGCTTTCATACCCCCACACGTGCCGCAGCGAGCCGCCGGGGAGCTGACCACGCTGAGGCGGCACCAGGCAGGGGAGGCGTGGCAGGCGCACCTCCGAAGCCGGCTCGGTGTGCGTGTGTGTACCTATTGGGCTTCAGGAACTGCTAAAGGGTCCTCCCCCAGCCTAAGGGGAGGATCCACAGGGCCTGAAACTCAAATAATTACGGGGACAACTAATGTAAAAACAGGGACAGGAGTGCGGTCACAGGGTCAAAAGAAGGGAACCTGACGGGGACACCGAGCAGAGAACCCCGGACAGCGCCCACTGCTCCTCAAAGGTGTCAAGGGAGCCAGTGGACGCCGCCCAGAGGAACTCTGCCTGGATACGTGAACGGACAGAGGATCGGAAACAGGCCCCACAGTCACAGGAACCTCCATCGGCCAACCTCCTCTCCCTGGTTTTATAGATGGCCTGTTTAGCCAGGGCCAAGAGGAAGTTGACCAGGAGGTCCCGTGACTTTGTGGGGCCACGGATAGGGAGCTCTGGAGCAGCAGGTCGCTTCGCTTTGGGTTTCTGGGCACCGGTGGGTGGGCTGGCGGGAGGCGTGAACTGAAGGGCTTCGCCGCCCTGCAGCCGGGTGCTGTGGCTTGGACAGTCCGGCTCTAGGAAATAGGCAGGGGTAGAACTAGCCTGTTCCTATTGGCTCGGGCTTGCTTTCAGGCACGAGTCTGCCTTCAACGGCCAGTTTACCACACCCAGCGGCTACCCGGGCACGAGGATCCGACGGCTTCCCGCCTCACAGACAGGCATGCTGGGAGTCCCGGGCTCAGGCGACAGCCCTGGCCCCAGGGCTTCTGCCAACAATCCTCCCTCGCTTATTCCGCCTACCCGCCCTCAGGCCGAACGTATCAGCGAGGCCAAGGGACCCCTTAACGCAGCTTCCCCGAGTCAAAGGACTACACATCCCGCTCGGCCGCGGAGGCTGCTGGGAGATGTAGTTCCTCCCTCAAGCCTCAGAACGCGAGGCGGCTCCCCTTGGCTAAGCAGCACGGGGAAGGAAGGAGCGCGGTCGTCCCCGAATCAATCCGCGTGCCGCAGCTCCGGCGGCGGAGTCAATCCCTGAGCAGCGCTGCCCGCTGAGGCCTGCGGGGCGGAGAGAGGGGGCCGGCGGCAGCGGCCGCAGCGCGCGCCGATAGGCTGCGCGCTCCGAGGCTGGCTCCGCCCGTGGGTCTGTGTGGAGCTGTTCAGCGCCCAGGTGCTGAGTCGCTCGCTCGCTTAGGGAGGCTTCGGTTCTGCTGCCCTTTCCCCTCGACGCTGCCACGGGCTGCGATGGGACTAGTATCAAATCGCCTCCGCCGCCTCCTTCAGGCACAGTGAGTGACTCCAGCAGCCCCTCAGCCCCGGAGGTTTGGATGCGGCAGCCTCAGCGCCCCACTTGCTTTTGGGGGGCGGCACACCAGGTAAATCCTCCGCCCCGCCCGCCTCGCGGCTTTGTGCTGCATGTGGCTGTGAGGCTCAAGTCCGAAGGGGGCATTTCTTGATGCCTTTGGAGCCTGAGACAGAAGAGTGGATTCTCTGAGGGGAGCACTTTGTAGTGCACCGCTGGGAACAAAGCTGCACGCTCCATATGCTTTTAAGCAGTTGCATTATTTTAATTTCCTGGGGGTGGGGAGACGGAGGAAGAGGTTGAATCCAAATATGCAAAAACCTGTGCCCCAGCTGCATTTGCAAACCCTCACATGTGTGCAATAAAGTGGGTTTTGCAGGGCACCCATGTTTGCAAATTCGTGGTTAAGCAGCATACAAACGAAATGTAGCATTTGTGATCTAGCATTAGCTACAACCTAATGCTGTAGTAAAAGGTTGCAAAATGGTTTCCTTGTGTACCCCCATTATCGGTAGTGATTGTATGATTTTTGCCCACTGCAGTAATTTCTAATTCATTCTTGTCGTGGTTGCTAGCTACATCAAGTGGCTGAGACAGGCTGGTGAATGTAGTTCTTATGAATATGCATCAGAAAGGGGAGGGAGGAAGAAATCCCTCAAATATATTTAAGGCCAAATGTCAAGTTACCTATTTTGGTGAATTAATTCTGCTGACATCCATTGTGCTTCTATGCCTGATGCTTCAGGCTTCCTCAGATGGTGCTGGGTGGCGGAAAGGGAGTCGAATGTGAATATTGAACATGCATAATAAAGCATGGTGTGCCTTTAACTCTTTCTTTGTACAGTGATTTGTATCTCAAAGGGGCAGTGGTTTATAAACTCAACAAATCATATGCTTTGTCCCAGACCAGTAATAGTAGGTGTAGTAGATTGAGGATATCTCCTTATTCTTCTGCTTGGGGATTATGGTTGCTTTAGTATTTCACAGATACTGAAATAAGAGGTTGGCACAAAGAAGTGATTTGGGTGTGGATAATGAGAATGAAGTTCAATCTAGGATTGTTTTTCCAGCAAGACAAAGCATGCAAATGTTTTCTGTGTTGACTTCAGCAGGGGAAAGATGCAAACTGAGAGGAATGCATTGCTTAGTTTGAGAGAACCAAATGCAGTTCAGTTAGCACACTGACATATGTTCTGCACTCTTCACATTCTACTTCCAGGTTATAGTAAGAAGGGATTTGTGAGTAAAGTAGATTTTTTGGGGGGTATTATTCTAATGTATTGTTCCAGAAACAAGTAATATAAACAATTACTGGGAATAGTAATGCAGTTCCACTTATTTTAAAGGCAAATAGAGGTGCCTAGTCTTAGTTTCTATCTTATTAAAGGCAGCATATGCCAAGTAAAGATTTTTGCTGTATTTCTTTTCATTATTGACTGAGAGTCAGCCATTTTTGATGCACTTGTGTTTTTAATGTCCACATAAGTGGTGGTGTAATATTTAAATTCTAGAAGAGAGGACTTTTGTTTAGTTTATGTCTAATAAGCCTTATATGCAGGAGCCTGCAAGTGCCTGGAGTTTGTGTAATTCAATTTGGCAGGAACTTAGTACAGCATGCAGGGTAAAACTAGTTGAAGTGGGTTCCTTTTTTTTATCATGCAGAAGGACTAGTTAATTACACTTCATAGTAAGTCCAATAGAGCCATTGCAGGTTATAACATTGTTTTTTTAATATTTTGCTTTCTTTTAAGTCCATTGTATAAATGCCTTATAAAAGACTTTATATATAAATAAATATAAAACTATAGGCATGCTCTATGTTGTATAAAAAACTAAATGGAACATCTTGGGCTCTGTAGTATATTGCTTGCACACCTAAAACTCTCATGACTTCTGTGACAATCTTTGGTGTACAGAGCACAGGGTCAAGCTTCTTTTGTTCAGTATGCTTTTAAAATCAGGTGCAATTTTAAAAAATTGCAAGTAGATGTAAGATCCAAAGGGGTGGATTTAGCTATACACCTTACTACAGGTAAAATTGTTAGACTCTTGGCTGCCTTTTATGTTCCCTTCCAGCAAAAATAATGCATATTCCCCATAACTGCTCCTTCCTTCCAATAAACTTTTTACATCAGTAATTGGGGAAACTCCGTGGATTGTAATTAACCATTTACAATTGCCATGCTGCTGAATTTTCTCATATGGGTTCATTAAAGGGAGCAGCTTGAGAGGTCTGTCATTTGGCTCTTAACTGATCTGGCTTGTTTACTTAATGGTGGTAACCGTGTCTTCTCCCTGACTAAATTGATTCATATCTGAATACTGAAATGCCATTATTTACCTCTAATTTAAAAGGAAGCGGTCAAGTTAAAAATAGGTCCCCCTTCTTGGATCATGGGACAAAGGTTCCTGCTTATATGGGAGGTTCTGGGGCCGCTTTAGATCCCTCCTCTAACTCATTGCTGAATAGCCTCTGAGGGGCCATTAAAACAGCTGAGGATCAGCTAAGCAACATGTGTGCGGACCACACCCTTTCCTACACTGAGAATTGAAGAGTGACATAAAGGCAGCTCCACTTGCTCTTTAACTCTTAGACTTTCCTTATCTGGCCATTTAGAACAGCTTTATGGCTGCTTTGTGGTACTGAAGCCAATGCAAAGTTATCTTAACAGGGCCGAGGATATTTAAAAAAAAACTTCCTTACCTATGCTGCCCCCGGTTAATTAAAACAAAGCATATATTGCACAAGTAACTTTTCATTATTTCTGCAATTTATCTACATTTTCTCTCAGCCTGGACAATAACTAGTCAGCATCCATCTTGCATGCAGATTCCGTTTTCAGTTAATGTCCCATTCCAGTTCTCATGCAATAACTAGCATTATGCAGGAAAGTTAAGTTGCAAACGCCAGAGGGAAATGTTTATTTAAACAAAGCTCTTTATTCTGGACTACTGAAGTCATGGAAATTTCTTTTGGACTTAAGTTATGTAAAAGCTGTTTTTGTTGTTGTTGTTTGTTTTTTTTCAGACACTAAATATTGTGCCAGAACCAAAGAGAAATATCTTTAAAATGATGTGCTCCCATTTATTATTCCAGTTAATCAGGGTTTGTAGCTAGGAAATAGCAGTGTTGATTAATACTGTACATCCTTATGAACAGGCTCAGTATAAAGTCTGCACAGATGCTGTTGGAAACCAGTGATTCAGTATTTCTCAGTTGCTAGTACTACTAGAAAAAGTGACTGAAAAGCATATTTACTTGGATGCCGAACAGAACCAAATAAGTAGTGCAATAGGTCACTCAGTATCTTGTGTTTAAACAGAGGATTTTACTGTTCCTTGCCTTCCTGGAGGGTGGCTGCATATAGTGAATGTAATTTATTTAGTTCTGAAAGAGAAGAGGCAAATAACTCCATGTATTGTACCACCTATCCACTTCAATTTATTAGTATGTTTTGCATTAACTATAATTAGAATTTACTTTCTTCTTATCTGCTGTAAATGTTCTTATTGTTAGTGTATTTACACAATTCTCCCTTCAAGAAATTAAAGGCTCAGTTCACCAAACACTTACTACTGATCACAGGGCTTATTCTTGAGAGAGAGGTCCTGTTGATTTTAACAGGAGTAATCTCATTGGGACTATTCAGGGTAGTAAGCAGTATTTTCAGTAACATTTGTGGGAATGGGTTCTAATTCAAGAACACTAACGTTGGGATTATAAAGTATGGTTATAAACCTAGACCCTTTTACCGGCAGACTTTGAGTGGCTAGAGGCATTGACTTATGGACTGTCAGCGCCAAATCTTGAGCATAAAGTGGCTTGACTTGAGATGTCACGGTTGCTGTCAAGCTGTCTAGAGTAGCTTACAAGCATGAGTGCCAGTCCCAGGGCAGACTGTCAAGGAACAGGGCACAATCAGTTTGGGATTTGTATGTTCTATAATTAGATTTCACCAACCAAGTGTGAACTCTCCAAGCACTATAACAGCCTTAACATGAAGTCACAGATAGTCCCATGACACAGATGGACACTCTGGTCAATCTTGCCACCCAGGCAAGCCTGCCTTTGTGATAGATGGTCCCTTACACCAAAAATCACAAATATATTCAGGTTACTCCCAGTCCCAAAAGACCAGTCACTTATCCCTAGTCTCTTACCCAAGACAATGCTTTACTCCTGGGGGAATTCTGTGCCACTGCTGAATGCAGAATTTATGCACAATTAATGTTTTGCACAGAATTTTGTTTTTTCCCTGCAGAATTGGTGCTGCAGAGCTGCTGGCCACCACTAGGAGCTGCTGGACCTGGCAGAGCTTGGCTCCCCAGCTCACAGATAGAGGACACTGCTGAGGGGGGGAGGGGAAGGGGGAGCTGGAGGGTTCCCGGCAGCTGCCCAGCACATCCTGAAGGGAGGAGGTGGTGTGCAGGAAACTCCATACAAGCCCAGTCTGACCAGCATCCGGCTGTTTCTCCTCCTGGATCTCTGGCCCCACAGCTCAGCTCTGGGCAGCAACTTACAAGCATTTCATAAAGTCTAAACACATTCTTATAACTTAGCATCATTAAAATAATGTTAACACACATGTGAGTCAGACTGGTTTACCTATGTGCATTTGTCAGTATTCAGTGAGGCCTAGGAGCCTTGGCATGAGCTGGCACCTGGTCTGCCAATGTCACAGTTGCAAAAATCTAGCCTTTCTTCAGTTGCGTAT